TTCTTAGTTTTCTTAAATACATTATTTTTCATCTCTTCCCACAAAGGAAGACATTTCTATGGGTTCCATCATTTTCCCTTTCATCTTCTATCCTTTCCCCTTATTCCTTGAGCAATCTCATCCATACACATGGCTTCAACCACTGCCTAACTCTTTACTCTCACATGTGTATTTTTAGCCCAGGTTTCCCTCTTTAGCTATACCACCATCAAAAACAACTTTCAATGGGACAGCTTCAGTTGGATGCATCAAGGGTACCTCAACTTGCATATTCATGAAATAGTATTCTTTTCCTCTAGCCTTTTATAAACTCCGCACCTATATTTTATATCTTGATACATGACTCAAGTCAGAAAATTAAAGATCCTACCTAATAAAAGAGAAACATGGTAATTAGCGTATTACCGCTACCCTTCCCATTGGCTAATCAGGGCGATATGCAAATTAACTGCCAGCCAAATGGCAGCCGGCAGCCAGGCAGCTTGAACCGAACATGAGGCTTGCTTGCTTCAGTGACGGAGGACTCCAACGTTCCCCGCCTGCTGCTGCTGGCCTCTGAGCAACTATGTTACAAATAGAGAAGCTAAACAAAACCCCAGGAACCTGCTTTAGTCGCAGAATCGCAACATTGTTTCAAATACAGAAGGTAAACAAAGGCCAGAAACCTGCTTTCGGCAGCGGAGGCCTAAGAGCTGGAGCCTCAGAGCTAAAGCTGGCCCAGAATAAAAAAAAAGAAAAAAAGGAGTGGTTGGGAGCTTCCGTCACCCACCAGCCTGAAAACAGCCCTCAGCCCCTCACCCACACTGGCCAGGCAACCCAGTGGGGACCCCCACCCTGATCCAGGACACCTTTCAGGGCAAACCAGCCGGCCCCCACCTTTGCACCAGGCCTCTATCCTATATAGTAAAAGGGTAATATGCCTCCCAGCACCGGGATCAGCATGACAGGGGGCAGTGCTCAAACCCCCTGATCGCCCTGTGGCTCTGTGTGTGACAGGGGGCAGGGCCACAACCTCCCTATCTGCCCTGCTCTGTTCATGACAGGGGAAGGCGCCCCAACACCCTGATCAGCCCTGCTCTGTGCGTGACAGAAGGTGGCACCGCAACCTGCCCGTTGACCCTGCCTTGAGTGGGGGCGGTGCCCCAAACCCCCAATCAGCCCTACCCTGAGCGTGACTGAGGATGGCATCACAACCTCCCAATCCACCCTGCTCTGTGCATGACAGGGGCGGCGCCCCAACTCCCCAATCAGCCCTGCTCTGAGCCCGACCAGGGGCTGCACCTAGGGATTGGGCCTGCCCTCTGCCACCTGGGAGCAGGCCTAAGCCAGCAGGTCGTTATCTCCCGAGGGGTCCCAGACTGGGAGAGGGCACGGGCCAGGCTGAGAGACACCGCCTTCCCCCCGAGTGCACAAATTTTTGTGCACCAGGCCTCTAGTATTATATAAATCACTCTTTATTTCCCATATTCAAAATCAGTTACTATGTTTTGTTACCTTAAAAATCTTTCTGAAATCTGGACCTTTCTTTTTCTCCCCACTGCTTTAGTTGAGAACATAATTATCTCTCACCCAGATTATTGCAAGGTCCTGTGACAGGGCTTCTGCTTCCTAGTTTACCTTCCTCCAATTATCTCCTGCATTGTTGTCAGAGTAACCTTTCTAAAATGAAAAACATGCTACTCTCCTACTTAAATGCCCCCAGTGGCTTCCCTTTGCCTCATGGAAAGCTAAACTCAGGGGTGCCAATCTCTATCTGCTGCTCTTCTTAGCCTCATATCTTGCCGTTTTCCAACCTGCACCTCATGCATGTGGGCCTTGTTGGGTTCCACAAAATTGGTATGCTCTTTTAGTCCTCTTTTCTCTTTTCCATGCAATTTCTACTTCTCCATAATGTACTTTCTTTCCCACACTCTCCTCTTCCATTCCATTTGATCAATTCCTATTGAGGTTTTAAGACTTGGTTTGATATAGATCTGGGGTAATTTTCTCTCACCCTACAGTTTGTTCTACTCTGTACTCACCAAATACCTCTTGCAAGCCTCTGCATGAGCACTTCCATGGTCCTGTAATGGACTTCCCACTTCTCTGATTCCCAGTACAGTCTAAGCTCCTTAAGAATAGGAACCACATCTTTCATTTCAATATCCTCAGAGTCTGGGCCAGTACCTGACACATACAAATGACTGCAGAATTAGGTTCAAATCATCACAGATTTCATTTCTATATATCTCACTCTATGCTCCAAATATTAGTTGTTTGCTCATTTTCAAATCTTTGCTTAAATGGTTTCTTTTTCTTGAAAAGTCCTTTTTTCTCTTAACCTAATTAATCCTGTTACCAATGAGGCCCAGTTCAAATCCTACCTCATCCTGACCTCCCAGTTAGAGTTCATAAGCTTTCTTATTCCTTATCCTATCTAATAAAAGACAAAAGGGTAATTGATCGTACCTTCGCTACGCTTCCCATTGGCTAATCAGTGAGATATGCAAATTAACCACCAACAAAGATGGCGGCCGGCAGCCACGCAGCTGAAGCAAGCAGGAGGCTTGCTTGCTCCAGTGATGGAGGAAGCCAAGGTTCCCTGCCTGCCGCGGCCCAGCTCTGAGCTCTGTAAGCAACAAAGTTTCAATTATAGAAGCTAAACAAACCCCAGATACGTGCTTTCAGCAGGCCGTGGCCTCAGAGCTACAGCAAGCAGGAGCCAGCTCTCAGTTCCAGTGACAGCAACAAAGTTTCAATTATAGAAGGTAAATAAATCCCAGAATAAAAAAAAAAGAAGAAAAGGAGAGGCTGGGAGCTTCAGTCTCCGGCCAGCCTGAAAATGGCCCTCAGCCCCTTACCCAGGCTGGCCAGGCACCCCAGTGGGGACCCCCACCCTAAAGGGGGTGTGGCCAGCCTGAAAACAGCCATCAGCCCCTCACCCAGGCTGGCAGGCACCCAAGCGGGACCCCCACCCTGATCAGGGACACCCTTCAGGGAAAACCCCCACCCGTACACCAGGCCTCTATCCTATATAGTAAAAGGGTAATATGCAAACTGACTCTAACAGCAGAAAGACTGGGAATGACTGGTCACTATGACACACACTGACCACCAGGGGGCAGACGCTCAATGCAGGAACTGCCCTCTGGTGGTCAGTGCACTCCCACAGGGGGAGCTCTGCTCAGTCACAAGCCAGGCTGATGGCTGCCAGTACAGCGGTGGTGGTGGGAGCCTCTTCTGCCTCCTCAGCAGCACCAAGGATGTCCGACTGCAGCTTAGGCCTGCTCCCCGCTGGCAAGTGGACGTCCTCTGAGGGCTGCCGGGCTGCCAGAGGGATGTCTGATTGCCAGCTTAGGCCCAATCCCCGGGGAGCAGGCCTAAGCCAGCAGGTGGTCATCCCCTGAGGCGGCACAGGCCAGGATGAGGGACCCCCCCACCCGAGTGTGCAAATTTTTGTGCACCAGGCCTCTAGTATGACTTATAATTTACTAGAGGCCCAGTGCACAAAATTCGTGTATGGTGGGGGTGGGTACCTCAGCCCAGCCTGCACCCTATCCAATCTGGGACCCCTTGGGGGATGTCTGACTGCCGGTTTAGTCCCAATCCAGGGGATCAGTCCTAAACAGGCAGTTGGACATCCTTCTCACAAACCTGGGCCGCTGGCTCCTAATCGCTCACCTGCCTGCCTGTCTGGTTGCCCATAACTGCCCCTGCCCCCACTGCCCTGATCACCCCTCACTGCCTCTGTGTGCTAGCCTGGTAGCCCCTAACTGCCCCCCACTGCTGGCCTGGTCACTCCTAACTGCCAGCCCCCCCACCAGCCTGGTCACCCCTTACTGCCCTCCCTCCCCTGGCCAGCCTGGTCACCCCCAACTCCCTCTCTGCCAGCCTTGTCTCCCCACGCAGCCTGTGTTTGGTCATCTGTCCAGTTGTTTTGGTTGTGATGGCCCCTGACTTTTTATATATTAGGATAATACTCACTTAGCACTGTTTGCTCTCTTATAAGTTATCTTTTCATATGTATGGATTTGACTTTTCCAATTGGATGTGTGCTTTTTGAGGGCTGTGATGTGTCTTCGTCTTCTTCCTTTACTGTGCCTCGGAGATTGTCTGACAGCATTCTAGTTTAGTATTTGAGCAGGTTATTTAATGGATGACCTGACCTCTTGGAGCCAAGAACCAGACTTGAACTTAGAGTTCACACTCTCTTTGGCTCTCATTTTCATAAGAGAAAAAACTTCAGAATAATGGTCCTAATTGGTCCCATTTTATCTTTTCAACAATTCCTGGGGGCATTTCACAGATGAATAAATGAAAGGAAGACATAAAATGCTGCAGTAAAAGGAGAATTATAGCAACTCAGTGAAAAAATCACCTCACTGTGTGGAAAGTATTATTAGATAGTGTCCAAAATATTAAGAATAATACCCCAAAGGACTAATATTTACACAAGAAATTAGAAAGTATATATCCTTTTTTTTTAATTAATCCTCACCCGAGGATATTTTTTCATTGGTTTTTAGAGAGAGTGGAAGGGAGGGGGAGAGACAGAGAAACATCAATGTGAGAGACACACATCAAATGGTTGCCTCCTGCATGCACCCAACCAGGGCCAGGGATCAAGCCTGCAGCCGAGGTAGGTGCCCTTAACTGGAATTGAATCCCTGACCCTTCAGTACTCAGGCAACACTCTATCTACTGAGCCAAACTGGCTAGGGTACATTTCCTTTATTTAAATTGTAAAATTGGGAAGTATTAGAAATGCTTACTTGCACTTATTCATTCAGAAATAATTAAAGCAACTATGTGTAAAACACAGACATGATTCCTAAACTCCATCATGAAAGAGGGATACATTAATGACATTCAAATTCTAACCTAGAAAGTGTTTTGATTATGATAATCTGAACTTTTAGAAATATTTTAAAGGGTTCTTTTAAACTAGCAACTCTAATTTGTTTATTAGAAGAATCCTTGAAACGACTCCTTACCCCTGCCTGTATTGCCTCTGTTTAAAGGTGTGAGAACCCTGGCATTTCCAGTGTCACACTTACTGATCATACTCTATCTGAAATCCTCTATTTTCTTGGTTATCCTGATCATCGTGGGTATCATCTACTTCCAGAGGATAAATGATTGCAGGTAGGAACTGAAGACTGAAAAATATACACCCATTAGAAAGAAGACAGATTATCCAATAAACTTATCTGCATATATGCATAGCCCATAGATAGAGAACAGTGTGGAGGAGGCATGGAAAAGGGGCAGGGCCAGGGTGGAGGGATCAATGGGGGTGGGGTGGGGGAAAGGGGACATCTGTAATACTTTCAACAATACAGACAAATTAAAAACAAAACCAAACAAACAAAAAGAAGACATCATTGTGAAACTTTGAGTTTCCAATGTCCTGGGTAAAGCTTGGTACATTTTTTGGCACATTTTGTTTATTCTCTCAGCTCCTGCTCTGAATTAAAGCTTTTTTTAACAACTGAGAGCCAGGGCAAAGGTGGGCATTGCTGGAATAAGAGCTTCTGCTTTACTGTAGTTTTTTCCGAGGAGAGACCTATCCTAGACCACCCTTTGAGAATTCCATGGGAGACCTAAGTGTTTACTTCCAAGTTTCTATACTTCGGAAGGCTTGTCTTTATTCCTGAGTAATTGTATGTCTTATGTTTCTTTTTCCTAGAGCACGAGAATAAAAAATCTGGACGTCAATTTAAATTTGATGAGATATCATAAAAATGCAGCCAGTTGAAATCAGCCTTCAAGTTCAACATCTAGCTCAACTGCTCCTGTTACTCTTTGATACCTTTGTGTTTATGAGAACCAATGTAATAATTTTCAAGGCCTGTTTCAAACTATATATATGCAAAACCTTGCTGTCTGCCATTATAAATGTCTAGGATGACTCATCTACTTTCACCTTTGCTCTGGTTAGTTTTATTTGAAAATGAGAAAGTACCCTGCTTCTCACCCTAAAGAGGAAGATGACTCAGCAAAAGCCTACAACAATTCTGTGCAGTTTTCTGCAACCCTTGGGTTCTTTAGACAGTGCTTTCATCCTAGCGCAGCGATTTCCCAGTGTGCAGTAAGAATTTTTAAAACATGCCTACTTGACTATTTACTCAGGGGCACTGACTTCTTTTCCCTTAGACTGTCAAATAAAAAAATGACAATCACCAACACAACAATAGCAGTCTGGTGTGAATGAATCAAAATTATACCTATTTTTTCTTGCAAAAAATATAATATATTTTTTGGTGTGCTGCAGAATTTTAGTAATTAGTTTATGTGTGACATGAGATAAAAGGGTTGAAAATCACTGTCCTAACTTCTTGTTTCTTTGGCCCATTTGAGATGCTAATCAATGTTGCAATGGCAGGAGCAGCTACACACACTGTCTTCAAGTCAGCTCACAGCTGACTTCCCATTCCCTCTCCCCCTTACTTGCTGACAGTTAGTGGGGCTGTTGTATTGCATGTTTAGACTGATCATTGAATAAACAGACAGGAATTATTTCCAGCAGTATGTGCATTTGAAAAAATTATAAGTTGATCCCAAATAAGGAGTTATTAGAGTCATTGGAAGCAGAGCTGAGTATCACCTTACTGCTCGGAGTTCCAGTGTCTCAAGTCTCTTTCTCAGCTCTCCTTTATCTTCACTCCAGGTTATCATGGGTTAATGGTTCTAAGAGTAATAATCCTTAATGAAACCCTAGCATCTTCTAGGACCGCTGTAAACTGAAACCCTCTCTTCACTCATACATATGGCAATCCTTTAGTAAAAAATGTTCTTTTTTAAAAATGTTTTTATTGATTTTCGGAAAGAGATGAAGGGAGAGGGATAAAAAAACATTGATGAGAGAGAAACATCCATCAGCTGCCTCCTGCCCCTGCACAACCCCCACAGAGGATTAAGCCCACAAATCCAGGCATATGTCTTGACTGGGAATCGAACTGGTGACCTTTTGATTCCTGGGTCGATGCTCAACCACTGAGACACACCCTGGCCATGCAAAAGTGTTCTTTTATTTAAATAAAAAACTTCTTATGTAAATTGGCAGGTGGTTTGGAATATTAATTTTATTTTTTTAGCAAAACTTTAAGGGAAGACATGAATGCATACTATTTGGAGGATACTATATATAAGTAGGATAGTGTAATTGCTGAAAAATCTCAGTGTATTTATACCACAAAACATTAATTCTTGCTCATTTCATATTCTAGTGCAGGTTGTTGAGGCTAGGGCAGGGGGCAAGAGTGGTTCTCTAAGTTAGCATTTATCCTATGTCTCTGCCTCAGAGTATTTCCATTCAGTGATAAATGGAGGTGAGGGAGGGAGAGAGAGAAATTTTATGGGGGAGGTTTTCATGAACAAGGCCTGGAGTACTAATCACATCTCTCACATTCCATTGGCTGGAGACTTATCCTATGGTCACACTAACTTCTATGGAAGTTGGAAAATGTAGTGTAGCTGTCTTGGATTAAATAGTCAGGTTTTGGGTACATTTAGCCATTTTCTGCCTAAGAATAGGCAAATGCTAAGATTAATACATACTCCATTAGTAATTGAACATGAGTCAAGAAATAATTAAATTAGTAAATAATGTCATATATGACTTGCATTAGCTCTTTTCTCTCTTTTCCTTTTATAATAATTTCCTCATTTTTAAAACAGAGCATAGGACAGAAAAATGTCTAGTAATACAATTCTGTAACAGACTAAAAATGCTGTAGCACAGATTGCTAGTTGCCTGGTTCAGTGCTCACCTTCCCCTTTTTCCTTGTGGTGGATGATTATATTCATGACTCCAAATCTTCACCTCTCCTTCAATTCATGTAATTTTTCAGTGACTTTAGAGTTCTTTCCATAAAAAGAGTGATACCCTCCCCCCTCCCCATGCAATGTAGTTTGGCCATTCAAATATGGTATAAGTGGTAGTGTACCAGTCTTGATCCAAACTCTCAGAGATCCTGCATATTTCTACATGATATTCCATGAGAACATGTCTGAGCTAGTCTTCCGGAGGATGAGAAACATGTAGAGCAGACCTAACTTTACCCTGGTCCTCCCACCCTCTCACTGTTGAGGCCAGCCTAGACAATCCAATAATTAGCCACCTCCTGGGCAAGAGAAGGAGCTCAGTAGGGTCACAAGAGCTGCCTATCTGACATTTGAGCACTGTGAACTCTGACTTAGACTGGTTTCCCAAATATTTGAGCAATTCTTATCACAGAGGTTTTACGGTTGTTTGTTACACAGCATTGTTGTGACATATGTCTCTGATGCATTGCTTAATAACATAACTCCAATTTTATTTAGTGTGGGGACATACTTGGCTAAAAGACATTTCTCAGTTTCCCTTGCAGCTGAGTGTGACCACCCAAAAAACTTTTCCCAAATGAGATGTGAGCATAAATCATTTGATTATTTTTGAAAAAGCTCTTTAAAGAGAAAGAAGAAGTCCTCTTTGGCTTTTCTTCCATATCACCTGGACTTCAACATTGATGTGATGACTGAAGGTCCAGCAGCCAACTTGGGCCAAGGGGGACATTGAGGATGGAAGCCACCCACTAAAATTGTGGAAAACCAAGCTGGAAGAATTCTGGACTCTGATGACCATGGAGTTGACAGTTCAAATGTTAAATCACCTACATGTAAATTTCTTTTGTGAGAAAGTGAATAAACTATCTTGTTCATGCCACTGTAATTTTAGTGAATTTAACAGTTTAACTTAATTCTGACTGATACAAATAACTAGTTTGCCAATCTCAAGGTTTGCTGTCAACATTGCAACAGCAGCTTGTGCTCTATTCATGTGCATTTTTATTCTTCCTCTAGCAATAATGAAGTACATAATTTCAGAAGATAGAAATCACAAATATGAGAGCCATCTCTATGATAGCAGAATTGCTTGTTATGTAAATTTAAGGGATGTGGTGGTATGAAAAGGCTTGAGATCTGGGGTGTGTGCAAAGATCACCTAATAATCACATGTCTGCATGGTAGGATTCGGAAGATAAATATACTGTTGTGTGCTCACAGGAAGGATGTGAGGATGTGAGTAGGAGAAACAGAGGAACTGAAATCTATGGGACTTTATTGTGTTAATCCTTTTTCCAGTGAAAGGACTCCATTCCTCCTGAAAACGATTTCTCTGAATTCATGCTCTTTATTGCATTCTCACTGTCATGATTTTCTAGGTGATGTTAGGTTAGAGGACAGTAAAAAGCTGCAGCTACTTCCTCTCAACTTCCTACCCCTGCATAAAGATAAAAAAAAAAGCATATTTTCTTTTCTGAAAACATATGCATATATGTTCAATAAATTAATTGTAGTCCTGAATTGAGAAAAATTGGGAACAACTTTAAACAAAACACAATTAAGAGCCACTAGATGGTGCTTCAACTTAATTCTTTTAACATTTTAAAGCAAGCTAAAATTTGTTAACCTCAGACAAAAATTCTGTATTTTTTTCCTTAAATTTTCTGCACAACCACCCCTCCATTTACCAATTTTTAAGTTCTTCTTGGGTAGTTTTGGAACAATAACAGAAGAAAGGAAAAATGTTTTAAATTATATTAAGGAAAAAAATTTTTTTTCAGTTCCCAAACTTTAATTATACTATTCCTGTCACTTTTAATAGAAACATTTTGTTTATCAAATGAGATAAGGGTGGATATTAATAGTCTCATTTCAGGGAAAGGGGAAATATGAGGATTGCTTAGTGGTTAAACCAAGGTTAGTACTCACATATTTCTTAAGCTGGAGAGTTAAGATCACCAATCACTAAAAGGCAAATAGCTGCCTGTTATATTAATGGCAGCAGATGGTTGGAGTTACAAATATAATTAGCTGGCCTTCTCTACTTCCTGGGTTTAACCCCATATCTTCTCCCCCATCAACTTTTAGAGGCAATGTGTTAAAACTGGAAGGAAACTAAGGATAAACTAAGCCAACTTCCTCATTTTACAAAAGAGGAAACAGACTCTCTGAGTTAAATGACCATCATGTGTTTCTAAGAAGCCAGCTGGAGTGTAAACTTGTTTGCTTGTTGATGAGAGCATTCACAAAGTGGACTTTAATGTGTTGTGTGTTTTTTTTGTTTGTTTGGAGTGAGTCTTGTGGTTCAAGAGGAAATTTATGGGAGTCTTCATAAGTATCACAAGATGAAAAAGTAGAACAACACATAAAATGTTCATTAGATTATTACTTCAAGAAAGAGTTGGTTATTATTGAGTGTTACCATATACCAAGGACATCACATGTCCAGCTTTGACATGAGACATCACATCTAAACTTTGAGAATACAAATATAGTAAAGTAATTTCAAAAAGTGCTTGTTTGAACCTCATGTTAGTCCTTTCTACAACCTGGAAGCAAGAGAAGAGGGAGGAAAGGAAAAAAAATTATATGTTTAGGGAAATACACTCAAAGTTTAGATAGGAAAGTTAGGGTCCAAGTTGTAGAATGCATGGGAATACCAAAACAAAGGGAACTAAAATAATCAGCATTAAAAAAGTGTTCTCTCTGGGCTCCAGAGATAGGAGTTATTGGGACTGTTGAGGAATCAGGTAAAAGAAGAAATAGATTGGTCCTTAGCTACAAAGAGAGAGTTGGATGGTCATAAATTCTCTATGATGGGATAGCAGAGGAAGAAGGCATGCACCACATTCTGGGGAAATCAGTACAAAGAGGGCAGCAGTTGGCAGAACTGGTGATGGGAAACCAATGATGACAAGAATTGGTCTTGGAGTCAAAGTTCAGGATGAGAGAGGATAAAAGCCAGCAAGGGAAGGCAAGTACTCCATCAGGCATCTTCAAAATGCTGGGGAGGTTGATGAACTTATCTAAATTGCACTGGTCACACTTCAGTTATTTTATTTAGACATTAAAGGAAGATATTTTTTCTAGAAGGCTGGAACTCTTAGGGACCATTGGGAATTGCAAGGAACTTTAGAACAAGAAGCTCACAGTTTACCTATAGACTTATTATTTGAACTCTGAACATTTACTATATTTATATTATGCTCTGGTAGCAGGAAGAAGAATTCCACAATCTTTGAAGGTATGAGCTAGATCTAAAGTCTAACTTCACTGTGGCATGTAGCTTATGATTTTCTGGACTAGAAGAAATAAACAAGGAGTCTAATAGGGATACTCAGAAATTATTA